GTGATTGCTGGATTATTAATATTTTTTGATTATATCTATACGATATTGTGTAATTCCCTCCCCCTATGTGGAAGGGAAAATACCTAAGGAGGTAATGGCCTATCAGATCAATGAGGAGATGGATGCGGAAATTAGATCTGCATTTACTAAGAACTTAGAACCCCAAGGAGAGGGAAACGAGGGAGACATCAAGACCAAGTTTAAGCTACACAAGAAACTAACTACTAAATATTTGAATAGAAAGTGGGATATTACATCCCTTGAATCATATATAGAAAGAGGGATTGTTCCCAGGGGATTAAGAGAAAGGGTAATTCCAGCAGAACATCTTCACACCCCCAGATTTCTGGAAAGGTGGAAAGAGGTCTGTATAAAACATGGCATAGAGATTATGCGATTAATTGTGGAAGAAGAGAAGGTTCAACTAAATGAGCTCTCTAACAAAATTAATGAGAGCGCAAAATCACTTGATCCCCTGAAGAATGATCCTGAGTTTGATAAACACAATGATTTCCTTAGAAAAGAGATAGAAAAAATACAAAAAAACCTGAAATTTACGAAACAACAAAAATTTAGAAGAGACTTAGAGGACTGGGAGAAAGGTGAGATATTTGACCTAACTAATAGTAGAGGAAGGAGTCGATCAAAACGTAAAAAACATTTTTCTAGAAATAATAGAGGATACTCATCAATGAGTGAGGATGATGATGAAAGTAATAAGAGATCTGTCAGTTTTTTTAGAGGAAAAAACAGATGGCGAGAACCATGGAATACTAAAACAAATAAACAAACAAATGAATGGGACAAAGGAAGAAAGAAACACCCAATTGCCCTCAAACCATCCAATCAAAATCGAACCAGGAGTCACAAGAGATAAAGACTAATCAAGAGGGGGGAACGAATGACCTTAAGGTAATAAATCTATCTAACTTTGTAGGGATGAAATTGAAAAAAAGACACTATGATTTACTGCGGAAAGGTCTAACTTTTTCTCCTATGGACAAAATGGACTTGTTTGAGGTCTACAAAGACTTGAACTTGTTTCTGAGAAAGATCCTTTTAAGAATTCCATATGTATCTAGAGAAGAACAAAATCCCTGTGATCTGAATTCAGAGAGGGAACAACAGGCATTAAGAGATCTCATTAGTCTCCTTGACGAGACTCCCACAGACAGTGAATTTGGGGAGGGGGATGTTTCTAACAAGTGGAAAAGACATACTAGACTAAAATCTCCTTCCAAAAGAATGCCTAATATTAGGGAAAATAAATGGCTAAGTACTTTCTTAGATCTCATGCATGATGACCTTGGAAAAATAGACTGGACAATGAGGAATGCTGATAACCTCACTAGGGGTGAAAGAATAGCCCTTATGGAACTTAGAAATGCTAAAAACATTGTGATTAAAAAGAGTGACAAAGGGGGGAATGTAGTACTACTAGAGAGTGTGGAATATGAGAAGGAGGTGCTTAGACAGCTGAGGAGTCTGGATACATATCGCAAACTACATAATAACCCGTTCCCAAAACTTGTGGTTGATTTAAATAAAAAAGTGGGATTGGCACGTGAAGCAAATCTATTAACCAAACGGGAATGCGATATGCTGACAGTTGAAACATATAATATCCCCACCTTCTATGTAATCCCAAAAATACATAAAAATCCCTCTCAACCACTGGGACGCCCTATAGTATCTGCTATTGGTGGCCCCCTGGAACCAATAGGTAAATTTGTAGACGACTTGATCAAGGATTTGGTCTTGGAACTCAGATCTTATGTAAGAGATACGGGGGATGTACTTAAAAAGATTATAAATGTAAAAGTACCAGAAGGTGCACTCCTGGTGGGCATCGATGTGGAATCACTGTATACCTCCATCCCACACGTTTGGGGACAGAAAGCGGTGGCCCATTTTCTGGAGATATACTTTCCTGAAATGGGGGCTCAAAATGAATTTATATTGGATTTGCTTGAGTTTATGCTGACCCATAACTGTTTTCAGTTTCTGGGCTCCTTCTATCAGCAAATATGTGGTACCTCCATGGAGCACCCTGGGCCCCGGCATTCGCATGTTTACATCTAGGTCTGTGGGAGGAGGAATTAGTATATCCCTCCACTCCCTATAAACAATATGCAATAACCTGGTTTGCGATACATTGATGATGTCCTAATGGTATGGGATGGAGGTATGGATGAGCTTAAAAGCTTTATGGAATTTTTGAACAAGAATGATAGGAATATCAAACTCACTTATACAGTAGATAGAGAGGTGATAACCTTTTTGGATTTGTCAATCTCCGTCCACAAAAATGAACTGGTCACTAAAACATTTAGAAAGGAAACAGCGGCCAATACACTTTTACATGCTAATAGCTATCATCCAAAGAGTCTGAAACAGGGAATCCCTATTGGTCAGTTCCAGAGAATAAAAAGAAACTGTACAGAAGAATTAGAATATAGACATGAATCTATCCAGCTCTACAAAAGGTTCAGAGAGAGGGGCTATTCACATAGAACCCTAAGAAGAGCAAAAAGAAAAGCCCTCGGTAAAACAAGAGAGGAACTAATTAATAAATCAAAACCAAAGGCAGCTGTGAATACTGAAAACCAACCGGTAAGATTCATAACTAAATTTGGACAACAATGGGATGAAGTTAAGAAGGCCCTGGACTCCCCATTGGCATTTATTAATTCAAAATCCGCAGATAGCGAGAGTGGTGGGAGAGAGTCCACACATGGTGGCAAAACGAACTCGGAATCTAAATGATATATTAGTACAATCAGAATTTCAGAGGGCACCACAGAGAAACTGGCTAACTAGGAAGACTGGCGTATATGGTATGTTTCCATGTGGTCATTGTCAGATTTGTCCATTTGTACATAAGTCTAATCAGTTTTTCAACAATGATAACTCTAGACATTTCAAATACGAAGCTTCATTAATTGTTCTAGTAGTAAAATGATATACATGATAGAATGTCCATGTAAAAAGATATATATAGGTAAAACCAAAAGAAGCCTTAGGACTAGGATCGGCGAACATCTGAGAGACATTAGAAATGAAAATAGGAATGTAAAAAAGGAGAAAAAGTGAACCCACTGGCGCAACACTTTAAAGAAGTACACGGGGGTAAAAGAGATGGTCTAAAAGTAAAAGGGATCTTTCTCTGCTGAATATTTCGGCTCGTCGGGGTGACTTTGATAAAGTCCTCCTACAAAAAGAAAAAATTCTGGATTTATACCCTAGGGGCACTTGTCCCATCTGGATTAAACACGGAACTCAACTTTGGGTGTTTTTTGAAATGAATTCCCCTGAACTCTCTATATATCCTGAGTTATAATCTACATTGCGATATCCTATATATGAACTAAATATGGGCCTCTGTGGACAAAATATGAACCTAATTGTTTCAACCTTTTCTACTCTTATTAGGTGGTGAGCATATAGAATAATAGGACTGATTTTGAAATTCTGGTAGCTGGACTTGGGTTTGATGTTTCCCTATGTGAACGTGAAATATGTTAATAATAATCTCCTGTTTATCATTCTTTTGGAAGATAATTTGATCTATAGTAATTAGGCTCCTCTTCTACATCCAGCAATCATTTTAAAATTCAAGACATGTGTTTTAATTCATTTTTGGACATTCCCAATGTAGTGATATTCTTTCAACACAAGATGGCGAGGTGGAGACTTTCTGGTATGCAATTAGTGCACCATATAAGGCAAAGGATTGAAGTCCCCTCCCAGTTCTGACGAAGTCTGCGGTGATTGGCGGACGAAACGCGTCAACGTATTGACGTCACTACGCTCGGCGTCTTCACAGGGTGCGGCGCCCACGAGGCGGGAAGGAACGGCGGTGTCACAGCTCCCTGTTAGGTAGGCCCAAGACCCTCTGAGAACTACCAGTGGGCTACTATCACAGCGGTTCGCAAACGGCAATCCCTCAGGGAAACATATCTTCCACCGGTGGCAAGTTTATTTAAAAGCTTACGGCTGTTGAGATTTACAGAGCCTACATGGTGTTAATAGGGCATGCTTTATGGTCCTAATTTACCCTGTATACCCGGGGAATTTTTTGGAATTCCTCTCAGGAGGAGAATCTACATATATATATATATACGCTATCCTACTCAGGTATTTTTTGCTGTGACATAGCCACATCCTTATAAAACCGCAAATAACCTTCTCAAATTGAGCAATTTTTGGAAACCCTTTATTGGTATATTAAACTCAGGTATCTACGGCCTGCTATATGCTATATACACATTATATGTGCTTGAAATCCACGCATCGTGTATACCTGGTCCCTCACCCCCATATGCATCTTTGAAAAAGCATCAAGGACCTGATCTTAGTTCAAGTCGACAAGAGTCTTCTTGATCCTCATTGATGGTAATATATCCACATTTTTATATATGTTTTGTTTTCGGGGTACCTGATGCCCAAGATCTACACATTTAATTTTTTCTATGTATATCCTCAGAATCATTTGGTACTGTGTGGACCTTGTTCCATTTGGGGTGGCTATCCAGGAAGTCCCTACACTTGAGAGGCGGTATGATAGTTTCACCTTTGAGAAGGTAACAGCAGTATCCATTGACTATTGTGGAGGGAGGTCTGGTTAATTTTGGATGTGATTTGGTCTCCATATTGCTAGATACATACCATGTATAACTATTTTTGTGTTCCAGCTTGTACATTCCAGGAGGTCCCTGATATACACTGGGAACACACCCACTGAATACACGGCTCACACAAATATTAAGCAGGAAACCTACGGAAATCCAGGATAATTATTTCATCATTACACCACTCTGCCTTATATGGTGCTCTGTTGGCTAAGATGACCCTAAATTGAAGATGCTAAGTGCTTTTTAACATGATTTTATTTTTTTTCATATGTACACCGTGCTCATGTTTAACCTCCCTATGATCTATGTGATCAAATAAAGTATTGTTAAATTCATTTGAATTTCACACTACTCCGCGTGGATTACTTAGAAACCTTCTTTTTTTAGATAGGTGTGTTCTTGTCACACTATCATATTGTTTAGTATGCTTTGTCTTGTGCCCTGCCTGCATTTTGAATGTTCTTTCTGCCTGGAAACTTAGAAAAGTCCATGGCGTCCAAAAAGCGTCCCTTTACGTCAAAAGCGGTTTTAGACCAGCTAGAGAACAGCGATAGTAAATCAGAACCACTTGCAGAATTGAGTGATAATGATTCGTGGGGAAATTCGTCATCAGACACTGAAAACGATTTTGCGACTTTGCTCAGCGATGTGCGAATTTGCCTCTGTATTTCAAATTTCAGTGTTTTTGGTTTGATTATATTATTGAACTAAATTTATAATTATTATATTATTATTTTTTATGATTATTTATTAAATTATAATTTATGATTTCGTGTTTCAAATTTTATCATATCCGGAATGTTTACTAGACTCTTGTTCGTACAGATTTCAGTGAGTTATTCCTAAAAATTACAGCCTACAATAAAAAAACTACATATTTCCATGCAAAAAAAAATGGTACCGCTTTCAGCACAAAAAATCGGAAAGAATCATACCGCCGAGGAGGTTAAGGAAGCTGGGAAAATATACATGTATCCTAGATGACAACAGGAAATAGTGATTTTAGTGATTGGTGCTTAAAGAAGACAAATATGAAATGGAAATGTCGGAACCTTTATCTGAATTACCTATAATTTGCAAACTGAAATGTGGGCAGCCTATTTTTTTAGAGCATTCAGCACTTATGTAATAATTGATTTCACCAAATACCACCAATTCACAAAAAGAACATTGGGGAACTGGAGAAAGTACAGAGAAGGGCAACCAAACTGATAAGAGGCATGGAGGAGCTCAGCTACGAGGAAAGATTAGAGGAACTGAATTTATTCTCTCTTGAGAAGAGGACATTGAGGGGTGATATGATCAACATGTATAAATATATCAGTGGTTCATATAGTGAACTCAGTGTAGAGCTATTCACCCTGAGGTCATCACAGAGGACAAGGGGGCACTCTTTACGTCTGGAGGAAAAGAAATTTAACCCCTTCGCGCCGGCATCTTCCGGCCCTTTAAGGGTTTCAGAAGCTGGAAGGCGGGGCGGGGGGTTTAGGGTCATGTGATCGGGAAGGTCCCGATCAAAAGAGGAGATTGGGACCTTTCCGTGAGTACTGGGACATGTGTGCTGGGAGCGCGCTCTCAGCACATATGTCTTTTTTTAATAGAACGCAAATGTGCGGCTGCTCGGCGTCTAGGCCCAGATGCCGGGAGGACGCACATTTGCTTTCAGCCGGTGTGAAGAGGTTAATCTCCAAACACAGAAAAGATTTTTCACAGTGAGAGCTGTGAAAATGTGGAATAGAGTCCCTCAAGAGTTGGCACTGGCCAGCTCAGCAGATTGCTTTAAAAAAAGGTCCTGGATTCTTTCTTAGATACACAGAAATATAACTGGATATAACATTTATAGGTAAAGTTGATCCAGGGAATATCTGATTGCCTCTCGAGGGATCAGGAAGGAATTTTTTTCCCTGCAGCAGCAAATTGGATCATGCTTTGCTAGGGTTTTTTTGCCTTCCTCTGGATCAACTGTGGGTATAGGATTCTAACTTTTTTTTTTTTTAGTGGTTGAACTGGATGGACTTTTGTCTTTTTTCAGCCAGACTAATTATGTAACTACGTAACCATCAATTATTCATTTGGAAGGTATAAACCGAGAAGCCAAAACCTGCGTGAGATATATTTTAATAATTGCTCATATTATTTACATTGGCAACAAAGCACAAACACATTTTAATGCAAGCAGATTGCAGTCTTGTCTTTAACCTTGATCCTATGGTAAGCAATAGCATGCATAGTTTCAGCATATAAATCAAATGCAACAGCTCAGAGAAACAGACCTGCATATTTTTCTAATGAGTAACCCAAGGTATACATTACATTCATAAATAAATAAAATGCAAACATTTTTCAATCCAGCTTACGAAGAGCGTGCTTTGCACAATAAGAAATCACGTATGACATATGCAATAATAAACTGAAATAGACCAGAGCCCGGCTTCTCAAGTGCAAAGCCAACCTCAGTAGTATTTTTGGACTGATCTTCAGTTGCTAGTTGTAAAGTACAAAGATCACCAGCAAAGGCTACCTGTACAGCAACTACCTCCCACACATTAGGTGTGGACCAAAAAAAAAAAAGAAGCTACGCCTGTAAAGGGACTTTGTAACTACTTGCGTGCACAAAATAAAGTTGTAAACAGCTGTTGGCAAGTGGCACCACGTCACATTATACACACACAAGGATTTCCCTTCACTTCTGTCCATCCCCATAGAAACGGCCACCACAACCTGCAAACAGTCACCTCAATTACTCCACATTCCAGCAATCCTCCCTCTGTGGGAATCCTTGTTTATATTTCAAGTTACCATGGAGTTTATTTTTCCGATGTCATCTGCATACACTTTGCCCTTTGCTTAAATGCAGACACATTTCTCAAAGGTGATTTGATTACGCTGCACTTAAGAATGAATGGAAAGCTCGAAATTTTATATAGTATGTGAAAGTGATTGTGGCTTCTTTTTTTTTTTTTCTGAAGAAACACCTTTACTCGGCTTTCAAGCTGCAATTTCTCCATCCTGATTGGATTACATATGCACTTAATGAAAACCAAACCATAAGGCTAAAATAGATCTAGTATAGGGAAAAACACACTCAAGATTTATACATTTTCCTTTTACTTCGTTTTTTTTTTCTATTCTGATCTGGTTTTCATTTAGTGATAATTTGTATGTATAAAAACTAAAAATGCAACAGCCAAGTGATCCATGAATGTGTATTTTCTATGTATTGGAAAAAGGACTGATTGAATATTCTGTAAAATACTAAAAAAACAGTATTAACCGCTTCCATACCGGGCACTTTTACCCCCTTCCTGCCCAGGCCAATTTTCAGGTTTCAGCGCTCTCACACTTTGAATGACAATTGCGCGGTCATACAACATTGTACCCAAACTAAAATTTTATCAATTTTTCTTCACACAACTAGAGCTTTCTTTTAGTGGTATTTAATCACCGCTGGGGTTTTTACTTTTTGCTAAATTAACAAAAAAAGACCAAACATTTTGAACACGTTTTTCTTTGTTTCTGTTATAAAAGTTTGCAAATAAATAATTGTTCTTCATAAATTTAGGCCAAAATGTATTCTACTACATGTCTTTGGTGAAAATAACCCAAATTAGGATGTATTATTTAGTTTTGTAGGAAAGTTATAGAGTTCACAAACTATGGGATATATCTGAAAATTGATCAATCCTGAAGTACTAACGGCCAATCTAATTTCTTGAGGTTCAAGAATGTCAGAACAGTACAGATATCCCCCAAATTACCCCTTTTTGCAAAGTAGACAGTCCGACGCAGGGGCGGACTGACCATTTGGGCACTCGGGCACTGCCCGAGGGCCCCGGGGCAAGGGGGGGCCCCATCAGAGGCTCCTGAGAGGACAGGGCGGGATGGATAGAATATGCCAGCTCTGGGTCTGATCCAGATCTCAGGTTCCTTCATGACATATGGCATTTGTAGTAAAGCTGATGAGAGAGAGAGAGCCGGGAAGGAGAAGGACACTTGCCGAACCAGTGTAAGAACTCCGCCAGGTTGTCTGGCTGCTGATTCTCCTGAATGCAGCGGAAGCCAATTGGTCTGCTGTCCTGTCACTCAGTGCCCCCTGCACCTGCCACCTCGCGAAGGCCAAGCTGTGTCTAGAGAATGAAACATCAGCTGGAACGAGGGGGTGAGGGGGGGGGTGAGAACCAGGAGCCCCTCTTGTCAGTTTTAAACTGAACCCTGTGTACGATCCATGGTGACTATGTGTGCAGAGGGGTACAGCGATGGAACAATGTGTTCAGAGGGGGTACAGCGATGGAAACATGTATGCAGAGGGGGTACAGCGATGGAACATGTGTGCAGGGGGGTACATCGATGGAACATGTGTGCAGAGGGGGTACAGCGATGGAACATGTGTGCGGAGGGGGTATAGCAATGGAACATGTGTGCAGGGGGGGGGAACATGTGTACAGCGATGGAACATGTGTGCAGGGGGGTACAGCAATGGAACATGTGTGCGGAGGGGGATACAGCGATGGAAACATGTGTGCAGAGGGGGTACAGCGATGGAACATGTGTGCAGAGGGGGTACAGCGATGGAACATGTGTGTGGAGAGGTATAGCAATGGAACATGTGCAGGGTGTACAGCAGATGTGTGCAGGGGGGTACAGCAATGGAACATGTGTGCGGAGGGGCAATGCAACATGTGTGCAGTACGATGGAACGTGTGCAGAGAGGGTACAGTGATGAAACATGGGGGACCCAGTGTGTATGGGGCGGTGCTGTATTTCATATAATGGGGGCCCTGAGTGTGAGGACAGTGAACTGTGTGTCACAATGAAGGATCCCGTCATGTGAATGGTATGGGGCTGCACTCCTTATATTGAGAGACCCCAGTGTACTCACAATGATCCCATGTGAATGGGATGATGGGGAGCTCAGTACATTTTATATTGAGGAGCCCCCTGTATGACCTGGGAATGGAGACTCTGTACACCATGTTATGAGGGGCAAACTTTCTGACCTGAGAATTGGGGTATATTGTGCTTTACAATTGTGGGTCCTCTTTGTGCCCTAAGTGGGGGCTCTGTGTGCCTTATAATGAGGGGTCCGCTCTGTGACTTGAGGATGAGCATGTACTCTGCACTTTAAAATGGGGAACCCCATGTGTGCCTTGAGGATGGGGGGGGGCACTATCTATACCTCCTCTCTCCCCCTCTCTAACCCCCTCTTTCCCACACCCTCTCACTCCCTCCCCCCCTCTCTCACCTGCCCTCTAAACCCCTCCTTATCTCATCCATGCCCTCTCAGCCCCTCTCTCTCATCCCCCCCTCTCTCTCTCATCCCCTCTCTCTCTCCCTCTCTCTCTCTTAAACTCAACCCCCCCCCTCTCACCCTTCTCTCTCTCTCCCCTCTCACCTTCCCCCCCCCTCTCTTTCACCCCCTCTCTCCAAGCCTCTCTCTCCACCACCCTTCTTCTCCTTTACCCCCGCACTTTCTCTCTTGACCCTTCCCCTCCCTCTCTCTTTCCACACCCCCCCCCCCTCTCCGCCCCTCTCACTCCTTCCCCTTCTCACCTACCTCTCTGCCCCCTCTCTCTCTCACCCCATCATGTCCCTCTTTGCCCCTCTCTCTCACCCCCTCACC